CCTTCCATCCGCACTCCCACTCCACCTCCTCCTCCCTGTCCCATTCCCATATTCATATTCAGTTAACTTTATACTAAGTAAAAGTTTCAAAAATTTGCACACACACAGACAAAAAAACTGTTTGAAAACAAGTTTTACAGTTAACTCTCATAATACAACTCATTGAGGACAGAGGTCCTGCAAGGGAAATTAAGTGCACAGTGACTCATGTTCTAATTTTACAATTAACACTCTTATGTATGTCTTCAATGATCACCCAAGGCTCTTGACATGAGCCGCCAAGGCTATAGAAGAAGTGTTTTGAATCCACAATCTCCAAACTTTTTAAAAAATATTTATTTATTTATTCATTTGAAATGGAGAATGAAGAGAGAGTCCGTGAGATAGAGACCTTCCAACCTCTGTTTTACTCCACAAATAGTTGCTACATCCAGGACTGGGCCAGGACACAACTATGAACTAGGAACTCTATCCTGATCTCTCACATGGGTGTCAGGGGCCTAAGTACTTAGGACATCATCCACTGCTTTCTAGGCACATTTTCAGAAAGCTAGATTGGAAGCATAGCAGCTAGGACTTGAACCAGAACTGTGATATGTGATGTTCCAAGTAAGGGCTTAACCCACTGCACCATAATGCCAACCCCTACTTACATAGATTCATGTATAATTTCCATAATTTTATAGATCTCAAACAAGAGTTAATAAAATAAGCTATTTCCAAATGATAGCAACCTAATGTATAGCTTATAAAAACCTAATTCCACTTCTACACTATTCTGCTCCTGATCAGTGGAAAAAGATTTTTGAACTGGTATGTTTGGCTCATGAAGCATTCCTTACAGTCAAGGATTATAGGCAAAACCAGCAAGTCAACACATAAGCAGAAGTTTTGCCAAATACACAGTTTTCTTATTACCTCTTTTTATGATCAGTAATGTGAATTTGGGAAAACTTAAATTCAACATTAGGTGTGTACATTATGAACATGGGATCAGATTAATCTCATTGTGAAGTGAGTGTACAGCCTGGTAGTTAAGATGTGGGTTCAGATGCCAGCATCCCATATTAGAGCACCTAGCAGTCTCTGCGGACTCAAGCTTCCCACTAATGCATATCCTGAGAAGCATTCTGCCACGTACCTGGTTTCAGTTCCTAGCTCCTGCCTTCTGTGCTTTCCATCCCTAGCTGTGACAGGCATTTGGGAAATGAATCAGAGGATGGGACTCTCTCTTTGTCTGTCTGTATATCCATCTATCTACTTTTTTAAACAAAACAAAACAAGAAAACTCACAGACTTACAACTACAAACAGTGAAAATTGGCAAGCTTGCTGCCATTGAAGAAAACAAACCAGGTTTGAAGCTCTTTATAAAGTCTTGTCCACAGAATATTGTTACAGCTTGACACAATCTACAAGCCTTTTGAAAAGCCCACTTTCATAGAATTGCCAAAAAGTGACTCTAGAGTACCTCCATGGAAAAAGTCCTACATCCTGGGTCCTTGTTAAAAACAATCATCGTGAACATTTAGCATAAAAGCTGACAAAGGCTGTGATACTAATTAAAACAAAAGCCCATCCAGACTTTACAAGGAATGGCTGTGACTTAAATGTGCATAGTAGGCTTTGGCAAGCTCTGCCATATTCCTGGGGTTGTAGAAGTCAGCATGAATAAACAGCGCTATGTGTATTAGGAAACATGTAAAATATCACCAGTTGTTTACTTCTGGCTGGCTGATCTTGATCTTCGAGCAAGTAGAATGTGAATGTTAATGACAGACATAATCTTTTTAAGCATTGAAAGCATACACACACACACACATTGAAAGCACACACACATGCATACACACACACAAATAACCTTGGCTAAGGGGAAGACTTACTTGGTGCAAGGCAGTTAAGGAAAGATCTGAACAATCACGCACTGACAGAAAAAACCCTCCAAGATGATATTTCAGTGGCCGTATAAGACAGAGAAAACACTTCACAGAATTAGTCAAAGAAAGGAAAAACAAACAACAAAATGAACCCAGAAATAACAACAATAAAGAATAATAACAAAAACCCAAAGAGAAAGAAAAGCTTAATTTCCAAACTTTCTATATTACATTATTATATTACATGGTTTTCAACCAAAAATGTAGAAACATGAAAAGGAATAAAAAATATTGTTCATAAATGAGGAAAAAAAGTCAATCTAGAGAAACTATCTTGAATGAAGCATAACATTTTTGATTTTATTATATCCAAATTATTAACAAATATATGCTATCTACAAAAACATACTTTAGACTCAAAAAAAACCCCAAATAAGTTGAAAGTTAAAGGATGGTACAAAATTTGTTATTCACATGGTAGTGGAAATAGTGTAGACTGACTATATTTATATTGGAGAATAGATATTAAGACAATAATCATTACCAGAGGCAATGAGAAATATTGCATAATGTCAATAAGGAAAAGAAAATGATTACAAACATACACACATTCAGCAGCAGAGTTTCAAAACATTAGAAACTGACAACTGAAAAGAGAAATAGGACATTTAGCAATAACAGCTGAAGACTTCAATACTCTATGCTCAATAATTGATAAAAGAACCAGACAGAAAGCTAGCAGTTATTTCAAAAACTTGTATAGAGTTTCAACCAAAATGATCTAAAAGACAACTCTAGAATACTAAGCTTGAAAACAGCAAAGTATATATTCTTTGAAGTGTCATTGACATTTTTTATAAAAAGGCCAAAAACTATGTTTTAGAAAATATCTTTATAAATTTCAAAGACTGGAAATAACACAGTTTTTGATATATGTACAAAAATACAAAATGATAAATCACCAATTATAGGGGATTTGTTGAAACAACATGTATTTGGAATTAAAGCAATACATTTTAAAACGGTCAGTGAATAAAAGAAGAAATTTCAAGGGAGTTAGACTGTCTTTTGACCCGAATGAAAATAAACTGCAACATATGAGAAACAGACAAAGCAGAGCTTACAGGAAAACTGGAAATGAAGAAATATCTCACATTAATAATCAAAATTAATATCCTCAGAGCTAAAAAAATTAGAACAAACCAGTTGACAACAAATGAAAGAAATAATTCAAAAGGAGTAAAAATAAATAGAAAAAAAAGATTATAGAGAATAAAATCAAACTAATAATTATTTCTTTTAAAAATATATAACAATTTTGACAAAGCATTACCTATCCCTAGTAAGAAACAAAAAGATAGAAAACACAGAACTTATAAATGAAATGGGAACAGTATTGCTGATTACTTACAAGTAAATAGATTGCAAGGGAGACTATGAACAACTTGCATGAATTCACAAAGTACCAAAACTAACGTCAGAATCACTTGAAAATCTGAATAGATCTACAAGAAGTCACTAAATGAACCAATAATTTAAAAAGAATTACACATTGAAATATATGAATCATATATGGCTTCTTTGGTGAATTTTCTAAAACGTTCTGAAAAAAAAAAGTGACAATACAAATAGTTCCACATATAGATGAGAAAGGAAGACTTGGCATCTTATTCTTTGAGTCCAGTACCATTCTGATTTTAAAGCTAGACAAACATATAACAAGAAGACAAAGAATAAATGGGCACATATTCCAAAATAAATATAAAAATGAAATCCTCAAAAATTGGCAAATTTAATATTATAATACATAAAAGTTATTTTACAGAAAATCGGATTTATTCTTGGAATATAAGGTTAGTTTTATCATCCAGAAATCAATTAACATAATGCATACTTTTATTTGAATATGTGAATTTCATACTCCCATAATATTTAAACTTAAATAACAGTTTTTGTAGTTAGGAATTTTTTTTTGTCTCAGGTACCAGTAAAATTGTTGATATATATAAAATTTATATGTAGGGGCCGATGCTGTGTTGTAACGGGATAAGCCACCACCTGCAGTGCAGCATCCCATATTGGCACTGGTTTAACACCGGGCTGCTACACTTTTTATCCAGCTCTCCTCTATGGCCTAGGAAAGCAGTAGAAGATGGTCCAAGCCCTTGGGCCCTTGAACATACGTGGGAGATCTGGAAGAAGTTCCTGGCTCCTAGCTTTGGATTGGCACAGCTCTGGCTTTTGTGGCCAATTGGGGAGTGAAGACCCCTCTCTCTCTTTCTCTCTGTCTCTTCTTCTCTGTCTGTAACTTGGACTTTCAAATAAATAAATAAATCTTAAAAAAAATAAAGTTTATATGTAAACTTTCCAGCAAAGTTACTTCTATTCCTACATTGGTTTTGTTTACTTCTAGAGACAATTTTTATGTTATTTAATTATAACTTATATTTTATCACTATATAAATTACATATAAATTACCATTGTATATAATTACATAAATTATATATAAATATTATTATATAAATTATAATATATACATCATAATACAGAGGAGTTTCTCCAGAGAAACAGAACAAGTTAGATTAGCTGAGATAGGATAGGATAGAATAGAATAGAATAGAATATATAATTTTAGAAGTGAAACATGACAAAGATGTATTGAGTACATTTATCTTAGCAAATATGAAGCTATCACAGAGATAGAAGAGGAACAGGGGCCACAGGCCTAAAAGCAGGTTGGGGAAACATTAAAGAAAGTCAGCTACATAAGAAACCTGGGAGAGGGCCGCAGGGCAGGAGTTGGGGTCCCAGGGAAGGAGACAGCAGGGCAGAGTCAAGCAACAAAATTCAAAATAATTTGGCCATAAAATATGAACAGACTGTATTTCTTTGTGGGGAAGGGGAAGAGAGAGGGTGTAGGGAGAAGGAGAGGTTATTTTGGTAGAGACTTGGGGGTCCTACACCACCCTGCTGTGTACCTATCCTCATTCCAATCCTTTCCTTCTGTGTCTCCCCTCAGTCCTCTCCCTGCTCCAACCTCAACCACTCTTCCCGGCTATTACTCTTGATTTCTGCCATTCTAGTTGTGCCGGCTGTCACTCTGCTGTCGTTCCTCTATTACCTTCAGAGAAAGTAAAGGGGGTTGGGGAGTTGGGGGAGCCCCGACCCAGATCTGCTCCCACTCCTCCCCAGCCACCTGGAACAGAATTCCTGGCTGGTCAGACTCTGCATAGCTTTCTGGCAGTCAAACATAGAGGTTAACTCCACACAGGTCTTCCCATAGCTCGGTACCTGGACACCATCCACAGGGCTAGTCATTGCCATGATTTTGATAAGCCCAAGTTTGTTAAACTCAACCTGTATATCCTGTACAATCTCTTCATCCTCCTAGTCATGCATCAGCTTTTGGGCGGCACCATATTTAGGAGGTATAGGTCCTTGCTTGGGTGGCCACCCATGCATATCTAGGAGCTCACTTCAAGCCTCTCATTCGGAGGGTCATAGGCAGCTGATTGATGGTGCTTGGGGCAGGGCCCATCAGGGTGGCATTCTTGGCTCTTACCCTTCCCCTCTGGGTCAGCAGTTCTTAGCCCCAAGCTACATCTCATTCAGCCCCGCCATGGCCTCATCCCTTACATTGATGAACTTGAACTCACAGAAGGCATAGCCATTGGAGAGCCCCATGACACTGTCCTCCACCAAGTTGAAGTCCCTGAGAGGTCTGAACTATGTCAGCAGCCCTTTTACCAGGCCCCTGTTCACATCACCAATGTCAGGTAGTTGGGTAATCCCCCAGTGAACAGCTTGTGGGGACAGTCAGGGACCACGTTGGAAACATCGCCAGGCACCCACACAGAGAGTTTCTGACATCCCAGACAGTGGCTGATAGTCCTGAGGCCTGAAGATCATCAATGACTGTTCTTGGAAGAAGTTGTCATAGAAGGTCATGGCCTGAGTAGTGTTGTTCACTTGATCAGAACTCCAGAAATTCTTGTCTGGTTCATCTGTACAGGCAACACTGGGTGGCCCTGGGGCCTGGGTCAGAACATCATCAACCCCCTCAGGGTGTTTTAGCTTTGAAGAAATCAGTCATGGTCTCATCAGTGATGCCTCAGGGAAAGCTGCCCACATTGAGGCACTGGGCCTGTGGAGCCATTTGTCTTCCAATCATCTGTAATGGGTTTGGGGTCACTGCCAGACTGGCAGGAGATATGGTGAGAAGAGTAATGGCTGGCATCTGACCCACAGCTGTCATGGCCTTGTACTGCATTGGTATGATGTGCTCGGAACAGGTGGTGGCCATCCCAATATTTAGGGACCTTCTTGTTCTCGGACCAGGGGTAATGGGACAATCCACCATGCTTTTCTTTAGCAATTCCAGTCAAAGGTTTGCTTGGCCACTGCTTGTCACTTCTCTGGCTGGCCCAGGTTGTGCAGGTCCCAGCTCTGGAGTTTGTATTGCCAGCTTTGAGAGCTGCTGTGACTGATCATCCTGTGCTGGTTCTCATTGTCCCTGTCTTGTTTATTCTCCTTGAGCTGCTGCTCGTACTCATCGAAGTCCAACATGCTGACGAGGCAGAGCAGTGTCCTGTTCAGCTTCCGCTTCTCCTTGCCTTGCTGCCCACCCTGAGAGGAGATATTCATTATGGAAATTGGTGCACAGGACTACAGATGCTAAGAAGTCCCGTGGTATACTGCTTTCAAGATGGAAAAGAAGGAAAGCAGTGGTGTTACTCAGTCTGAGTCAAATCGCTTGAGACCTAGGGGAATTGATGGTTTCACTGCTGGCCAAGGCCAGAGAAGCCTAAGAAGGGGTGATTGGAGTTTTTTGTTGAGGGTAACAATGCTATAACTCGCAGTCCTCAGGCCTCATGTCCGGAGAACCCGGAAATCAGGTCTGAAGGTTGGAAATTAATGTCCCAGCCAGAGTAAAGAGAGAGCTTGCTTTTTGTCTGCCTTTTGGCTATTCTGGCACTCAGTGGGTTGGATCCTGCCCGCCCACAATGGCGGGGACTGATCCAAACATCAGTCTCTAAAACACCCTCACAGATATACTAAATGATGTTTCCCCATTGAAGGAGGCAGGCATACAGGTTAAAATTGATTAGATTTGTGAACTGGAAGACCACACCTTCACCACGCCCCTGTGTGGCCTCATCCCCCTACCTTGACCACACCTGGGTGCCCACCAGCCAATCAGGTCAATTAACCACTCCCCTTTGGAAGTGGGTTAAAAAGCCAGGACAAGGTGTGGCCCGGGCCCTCCCTTTTCCCTGGCCTCTTGCCAGGAGGGGGCTTGCTACAGCCCTGCACCTTCAGGCCTTCGGGCCATGTGCTGTAGGCTTCTGGGCCCAGATACAGGCCTAGATGCTCTTCCACATGGCTGGTTCCTGGTGCTTGGTATGAACCCCTATTCACCTCTCTCTCTTAAATAAAGCTCTCACTCTCCTATGCATCTTTCTCACTAAATAAATCCTAAAATGTACCATGCTGCCTCATTTATCTGCACCAATATTTAGAATTTTTCTCTAAGCGGGAGATGGGAGGGGTGTGAGTGGGAGGGAAAATAAAAAAAATACACAATTACTCTTAGGTGTTTAATTAATGCTATAACTAGTACTCAAATAGTATTTTACACTTTGTGTTTCTGTGTGGGTGCAAACTGAAAATCTTTGCTTAATATATGCTAAATTGATCTTCTGTATATAAAGATAATTGAAAATTAATCTTTATGTGAATGGAAGGGGACAGGGAGTGGGAGAGGGGAGTGTTGTGGGTGGGAGGGAAGTTATTGGGGGGGGAAGCTATTGTAATACATAAGCTGTACTTTGGAAATTTATGTTCATTAAATAAAATTTAAAAAAAATTTTTCTCTAAATATTAGGCAAGAATCCTCTTGGGATTATTAATATTGGGGATTTATTAATAAGTCCGTGGTGAAATCGTATGACACCCCAAATTCTGGTAGCACATGTGGCACCCTGATAGCAATTCTAGGGAACTTTAAGGTGCAACATTTCAGTGTAGATTTTAGGGGGTCTTCTCTGATTTCACCCGTTATCTGAGGATCCTTAACAGTCAACTTAACATAAAATTAATCGTCATGACATGCTAGAAATTTCTGCTTGTAAATTGGATGAGGGACAGCCTATTTTCATTTTCATTTAAAGATACAGAAATGACACACAGGGAGCTTAAGTAGCTTAGCCAAAAGGAGTTACCTAGGAAATGGTGCAGTGAGACTATGAGCCCAGAGTCTGCCTCTTAATCACTGTGCTAATGGTTTTCAAATATGTTTAGTCTGATGTTCCCTTATATTTTTGTATTTTACTAAAAATTAAATTTTAAATCGCTCTATCTAAAGTACTTAAAATACAATAATCCTGTTACATTTTAACATATATTATTTTTTTAAAAAAACTATATTTTCTAGACAAAACATTAGAAGAATGACATTGTTTTAACATTCGTAAATAATTGTCTGATTCTGGGCTTCATAGAAGACAGCTAAATACTCCTATTTGTTTCTGCATGCAATGTTTTGAGGCATTGTTTTGTCTGGAGGTAAGAAGAAAGCATGCCCTCCTACAGATATGGACTGTAGTTTAATGCCTTTTCTCAGAAAGCTATGAACATTTCCTTTACCACTATGCCAAATGTTGACAAGAAGTAGTTTCTTAGAGGTTTATAAGATGCAATCATATTCACAAAAAAATGTTGTACTCTGTGCTACAATTTATGGCCTATCTTGCACTCAAATGGATGTTTTAGTCATACACTTTGTAACACCATTCTTGACAAAGTGGAAAATATTGGATTATTTTGTGTTATATGCTTGAAAGAGAATGAGAGTGAAAAAGGACTTCTGGAAAGGGCATAGAGTATACCCAGAATTCCTTTTGTTATATTTTGAAAATTACTAAGCTTTGCTCTCTATGTACCACACATGTGTGTGTGTGTGTGTGTGTGTATATATATATATTGTGTGTATGCTTCCACAAGCCACAGCTAATATGAATCAATATACCGTTAAGGGTTTCCCCGGAAAAGAGATGGCCTCGGTTATTTGCCTCATGCAAAAGAAGACAAGGCAGACAAGGCAGTGAAAGTAAAGTAGGGTGTATTCAAGTTGGAAACCTCCTGCCAGAGCGGCATGGAGGGGGGCTTCCAAGAGAGGAAAGAACCCCAAAATGAGCAGTAGCATTTGGGGTTTTTAAGTACAATCTTGGGGACCAAACTGTCAATCAACAAGGTGGAGATAAACTCAACAAAAGACCTGATTTACAATTCCCCATCCTGTCTGGCTCACTTATGATTAAAAAATCTTCCATAAGGGTAGGGGGAGAAATCACCACTGCCTTGCTATTCTCATGGTAAATTTGTAAATTTGGAGATTCCTAAGGAAGCAGGATTTTGTCCTGCTAAAGATAACAGAGAGATTCCTACAGAAGAAATCTTTGATCTGGTAAAGATAATCTTTTGGAGGTAGCAGGCTCAGAGCTATTCCAAATTTCTACCAAGGGACCACCCTGACTGCCTATTACCCATTGGACACCTCATAATTCCACAAAGTGAGAACACTTGTTATTTTTTCTGGGAAAGCTAGAGGTATATTGGAGGATTCAGTATCAGGCATAAAAAAATAGCTTTCTCTATGTACTTTGATGCTTCTTAAATTTTGCAACATTTACAAATATGACCTTCTGAAATTAACTTATAAGTATGCATATGCAAATATATCTATATGTATACAAAATATAGTTAATTTCTGAATGATGCATAAGAAAGGATCTTTAAAGAATAAGAATGTATAAACAACAAAAAGTATGCCAGTTGATGGATTTTAAAAAATCTAAAAGAAGAAAAATATCCTAAAGGTACTCCATAATCCTGAGGAGATATTATTAATACACTACTTGATTTCTGCAATTTTTTTTAATCTTTTAAAGTATGGATAGGAAAATCAACTATAACCATCAGCAATTATTCTAACAAAGAAAAATAAGTTTTATTCCTGTACTGACCCATATAAAAAGACTTGTGAGACATTTTTGCTGATTCACTCATTTTTCAAAATGATGTATTGACTTTTGCTTTATTAGATGTTTTTCTGTTAAATTGTACTTTATCTTGTTGATGATGCTGTCATTTTTCTTTTATCAAAATGTATCTGGTATACATTTAAGTCTCAACTTTTTTAAAGATTTTGAGTTATTTTTAATATATTTGTAAATAGAATGAAGTATTGTTAAGAACATTTAAGAGGTGGAGAAAGAAAGACCAAAAGAGAGAGAGAGAGAGAGAGAGAGAGATGTCCCATTCACTGTTTCACTCCCTAAATACCTTCAACAGCAAGAACTGAGCTGGGTCCATGGCAGGATCTAGGACCTCAGTCTTACCTGAGTGTAGGGACTCAGATACTTTGAGTCATCACCTACTGTGTCCCAGGAAGCACTAACAGGAAGCTGGAACTTCAGAAAGGGAGCTGGGACTCCTACAAAGGCATTCAGATATGGGATGCAGGTTTCCAAAATGCTACCTTAACTGCAGGTGAAATCGGACAAGACTTCTGGGAGTAACTGACAACGTAGGGAAACAGACCTTGGCAATGATCAAGACTGCTCCAATCCACAAAGCAAAAATGTTAGATAGGATAGACAGAGACTCACAGACACTGGAAATACAGGGCCTGCACTACACCCCTCATGACCAGGAAGCAGTTACAGAAGAGATGATTCGATGGCCATCAACTTCCTTTAGGACTAAGGGGATGGAGTCTCTGAGGGAAGAATGAATTAGACAGATGTACTCTAATAGGTCAGACCTACAAGATGGGCCCCTGGGAAATCCAGATGCCGAATGGTTTACTGATGGCAGCAGCTATATGAAGGAAGGAGTTAGAAAGGCAAATGATATATATACAGATTCCAGATATGCTTTCCTTGTGTTACATGCACACGCAGCACCTGGAAAGAGAGGGGCTTAATGACTGCAAAGAATTCCTCCGTTAAATATGGAAAAGTGATACTGGCTCTACTTCAGGCAGTACTGGAGCCTTTAGAAGTGGCCATCATCCACTGCAAGGGATATCAGAAGGGAGATAATTATATTAACCAGGGAAATGCATTAACAGATAAAGCAGCTACACAGGAAAGTTTGGAAATGGCCCTTATATGTCAATCTATGGAAGTAGCTAAGGAATCTCACTATACGGAGCCTGAAAATTAATGGGCTCAACAACGAGGCTATACTAAAAACGCAAATGGATAGTGGATGCTAAATCACAGAATTATGCCACCAATGGCCACTTAATGGAAAATTACACAATTCTACCCACTTGGGAAGAGATGCCTTAGTACAACTGGTCTCCTGAGCTTTTGGAGGAAAGGGACCAAATATGGTCGTAAAGGAAATGACTCTCTCTTGGCCACTATGTTTACAGAATAACCCTCACCACGTAAAGCCCACCTCCCCTGTTGACTCCTGTGCAGAGGAGGGGAGCATAAACAGGTGTAGACTGGCAGATTGATTTTACCAATATGCTCCCAACAAGCAATTATAGGTAC